TCTCTTACCATCTGCTATCTCTCCCATGCACGAACTATCTCAGTCGACCGCAACGGCGCCCAGTGTTTGCGTGTTACAAATCGACGATACTTCCGCAGGATTCTCACGTCATACTTGTTGAAAACGGGAACTTCCGCAGAACATGCTACAAAACCCTGCGAAAAGTCCGAAAAATCTGCCAGTACTTCCGCAGGTTTTTGAATGTGTTGTTTTCTACGAGAAGAAAGGTTAACATGTGAAGTGCACTGTCGAACATGTCATCCGTAGTGAAGAGTATAGGTGAGTGAGTCTCGCATTCGATAGAGCAGGGTTTCATCGCATAAGTGTTTTCTTTTAATGTTGTTATGGTTCGCATTCTTCGAAACTTCCGCAGCACTTTGGTTTACATCCGCAACACTTCACCGAACTTCCGCAAGTAACCCAGCGGAGCTTTCCCAAAAGTTCTGCGGAAGTCTCGTCAAAGTTAGCTTTATTTATATCATTCTTAGCTTACCTGAACCTTATATGAAGTATGAAGATAAAAACCCTAGCACTTCAAATATCCTGAGGAGAAATGTATTTTGAAACCGTATACTTTATCACATATTGCAGAATAAATAGAAGTCAAGCAAAATTATGAAAAATAGCCCAGCGCACAATCGACATGATATCAACAAGAGAAAAACTTAGATAGGCTGTTTAAGCAACGATGAGAGTTGAGCCAGCCGCTGCTCAAGAGCACCATGTTGACTCGCAAGTGTTGGATGAGAGCGAACCGAGAGGGCAACCAGATGGTTCATTTCCACAGGGGTGAACTGTGAACGTCGGTCAGGTAACTGGGCAAGGAGGCGATCCGGTTCATGTGCAAGAAGTTCGAAGAAGGCTCTGGCTCTGTCGAGTTCTGCTTCTCTTCTGGATGTTATTTGTGACAGTCGCTGTTGTACGCCCCAGATGTTTCTGCACACTCGCTTCTTTCCGGCTTCCGATAAGCGCGGCATGTGCTGACTGTAATTTACACTATTTTTGAAGAATAAAGAAAAACATGAGAGAGAACTCCACCTTGAGTGAATAAATATAGCGGCGCATAGATGTCCCAAACCATCAAATATATAGCGAAGTTTCGGCTGCGAAAGTATGGACGAAAGAAGCTGGTAGAAGGTCTGTAGATCACGTCCTAGCTCGATGACCTAAACATATTTGACTTTCACAAAAAAACTTCAAAAATATGGTTTTCGAAAATGACTACCTCTGGATCCAGCTCCTCATGAACGCTAACGTTCCTTGGTCTGGCTAACGGCAGAAGATGGAAGAAGCAATGGACACGAAGCTCCAGATGTAACATCAAAAGGCACGTATCTGATATAGTGTCCAAGCGACCAATACAATCTTCCATAGCATCCAGAACGGGTTCCTAAAAATCCAGTATAAAATTTTTTTTCCAAAAATAACTAGTCTAAAAGATAAAATATTTACATTGTCTGTAATCTGTCCATCTTTAAATCTGACTTGTACCATACAGCCTCGTAATGTTGATTTGACATGTTGTGGGAGGCTCGCCATGAGACCGCGAACCTGAAAAAAACTTGATTTATATCAGTGAAAAAAGAAACACAAAAGCCAAAACAATACTGCAAAACCAGGAAAAATCAAGAAATATGCAGTAGGTGGGTATACCTCACAAGCAAACCATCGCAAACTCTCATGAAGAGCTGCTAATGCTCGCACGTCACCCATATCTGTCAGCAGCTCGGCCCTTTCAATCTTCTTTTGGGTTGCAAGGTTTCCAATCAAAATTTCTGATTCACGCTCATTTCGCTGACGAATTTCCTTGAATTCATAAATAAATTCTCGACGACATTGCGGCTCACGAAAACCCGCAACGATTGCCCTACCTTTTCGCTTTCAAGGTTCGGGACACTAGGTGTGTTCGGAGTTGCTTCGTTAGCAGCCATCAGCCAATTAGGCAGGCTCATGAGAAGGCTAAAATCTTTGTATTATTAAAAAATTGAAATCACAGAATCATGGATGAGTACAAAAAACTAAGTTATTCTAACCGCGAGATGTCTTCATCAGCGGCCCAAGCAGCACTGATTTTACGCCTCGAAGCCACGCCGTCAACTTCACTCAACGATTTGGTAGTCTACAATAGAAGCATGCAGTCATGACTGCTTTACAGATAAATAAAGCCTCAAATTCAACTTACCCTCTCGTACATATCTGTGACATTTTTGTTGTAATCGGTGAGAACAAGAAGCCAAAGTGCTGCGAAACGGTCTGCGTATAAATCCATGGAAACAATGAGACCATGGACCTCTTGGCAAAGCTCCAGAACGCGCTCACAAGAGGGCAGCACTTTCTGCAAGCCAACAGTTGATCAAACATGCTCGATACATTGGAGAGGAAGACTCACCGCATTAGCTACGCTGCGCGATCTAGTGTTATCAGACCTCCTCAAAGCATTCTCAATACGATCGGCAAGACCAGCCTTGACTCTTTCCACAAACAATTCCATAACAAAGGAGTGGACAAAACGCCTATAAAGCCATTGATGAGCAAGAGACAAAATGCAAAGAGGTTCTCTTTTGGTAACATGGAGTTCTTACCGTAGCTGACAAGGCGATTCTCCGGTCTCTTTCTCAATGGAATCCATCAACTTTCGAAGCCATGGGAACATTGGCACAATATTAAATGCAGATGGACGGCAAACAACTAATGGACCCTGAAATCACTTTCATTTCTTCAATACCCTGATCAGGGCTGCGTTCGAACCTGCATGCTCGGATCAGTTGTTGATGTACCACTGGCAAAAGCTGTAGCATCGAAGCGAAACAGAGGTTTCTTGGAATCTATGGGTTCCTTGGCAGCCAATGGAGTGATATCAAGATGATCCGAAACCAAAGCCTTGAAAGTGCATCAAAATAATCAACTTTAAAAAAATGAAATGAAAAAGAAGATCTACCTCTACAGCATTCTGAGCGCCTTCCCAGTAGGACTTCATTATAGTCGCTCCAGAAGAATCGGAAGCAATCTTTTCCAGGACATTATGTGCAGCTCGAGATGACTCTAGTTGGCAAACAATCTAAAGCAAAGTACTAGTGAAAAGATTAGCTTTCAAAAGCTCCTACCATTTGCACTAGCTGTGTCAAGTGAGTTTGATCACCGGCTAGATTCTCATCTATCGAGGCTCGAATTCTCATCAAAGATACAGACGCGGCTACCTAGATTGAGAATTATGAACTAAGATCGACAATTTTCCATGAGGATAGATATTACCTGCTTTTCAATCTGCGCCTTCGACAGCGTCATCAGTCGGTCAATATCGAACGATCCGCCCCCTAGTTCTGATAAAGCATTCACCACAACTCTAAGACGAGACTCAACTGGATCCAATGATCGAGCTCGTTTTGCCTAAGCTTCTGGTTGGCATAAAAAATTAATAAAAAAGGAAAAAGAGAAAAAGGAACCGAGAAGTCAGTGCTTATAATGAAAATCTTTTATGAGGCATTAGACGCCACTTACCTTCTCGCTTAGACGAGAGCACTGCTCAGACTCCTGCACTTTCTGCTCTGGCATAGCTTGGATTAGGTCGAACATCTGCAACAATAAACTTCCATAATTTGAAAAAAAAACACCACAAAGCTTCCTCACATGGCTTTCGAATGGATCCACGACCAGTATGTCCACAATCTGATCGACTATTCTCCCGCGCAAAGTTTCTGATGCGTCGCGAATCATAGTTCTCAGTTGGCTAAGACCTTCTATTTTGGAAAGTCGACCGTTGATTAGATCATCTGAGATGACATATGTTATACTAAAAGAGATAAATGGGAGAGTGCAACTCACTCGACGTGCTGGTTATCTTCGCAGCATCTGTATAATTGCCTTGATTCATCAGCAATTCAATTTTAGACGGGGCTTCCTTGAGCTCTTCTCTGGAATTGTAAATCATGCAAAAGAAAAAACTTGCATCTGAAACATACAGCTGTGCCATCAACTCGCAGATATGCTTCTGCTGCGAATTCTCAAGCCATAGCTTCTTCAGGTCATCTCTTCTACATTCTAAATGAGTCTTGCACGTCTGCAGCGCGTTTCGAACATTGTGAATTCGCTCACGACAAGCTGAAAGTTACCATAATAGGAGATGACAGCGATCAAGTAATGAACTGACCTGAAATTCGTGTTGATACATCTCTGAAGGAATCCAAGCACTCTTCAACATCTTTCTGGTGCGCTGAATCGAATGAGCTTTTCACAAAACTTATGGAAATGCAGATAAATTTACACCAAAACGTTAAAGAGTACTTAAACCTACATCGGACAAGTCTGTCTATAAGAGCTTCAGATTCTTGAAACCCTTTCTGCAGTCGAGACTTTTCTAGCTCGCGCTGATCTTCCGAGACACTTGTAGTGAGTGAACGAATCACATTGATCAATAGGCCGGTCTGGAACATTAATTTTGAAATGTAAATCATTGATCGTTTCAAGCACCTTGATAGATATCAGGTGCTAACATAATGTGTGTGGGATAACATAAATGATGACAACCAAAGATCCCCTCTCGCCTTTGAGTTGCCTGGTATCCCTTCATGGATCAAACAAGGATGGGAATCGCAAACAGGAACTGAGTTATAATAAAATAATTTAGAGCCTCGCCATACCGCGCATGCTTCTGGGTCAGGACTCAAATCATCTGTCACATCCTCCTCTTCGACCTGAGAGAGTGTATGATTGAAAGTGAGTGAAGTAAATTTTAGAAAAGAATAGACGGTTATTCACACATAAAACTGGAATTATATAATGAAAGCAAGCAATTTCCGTTTAGGCGTACCGCTGACTATCTCCGTGACAACACTGATAGGATGATCTTTGCAAATTTCGAGTGTTATCTCTTCACAGATCTAGCCTTCATACCTAATCTAC